AATTCCTTCTAGCCATAAGGAAGGGGGGTGAGGAATCAACCCACCTTGGGCCCATACAGTTGTCGCTCCATAGGGACAGTGGGGTGTTGGGGCAGGGCCAAGAAGGTTGGAGCCATTTAGAATTTTCATCATCCCTCTTAGTGGGAGAGACGGTGTGGGCAATATCGTGGGGAGGGGAGGAGCCTCTCGGTCTGGTAGATCCCCTGGAAGTTCCAGATGCAAATGGGCAGTAGTTGCTCTCCATGCACTGCCACTACCCTCCCCTCCTTCCCCCTACAGGAATTGTGCTGCCATTGGGTGACTCCCCCTCTGGCTGCTCAGCTGCAAACACAAATAGGACTTGGTGGAACTTAATGCTGTTTTAAGTAACATTCACTGCCTCCCGGATTATTGCATGCAACCTTAGGGTATGTCTGTGCTACAGTGGCATGACTAAGGGGTTGCAGCTACGCCGCTGTAGGGTAGATGCATCCTACATTGCCAGAAGGGTTTTTTCCATTGACGTAGATTGTTCTCTCTCTGAGAGGCGGTAGCCAGGTTGACAGAAAAATTCTTCCTTTGACTCAGAGGCACTACCCTGGGGGTCAGGAAGACCTGACTACATTGCACAGGGTGTAGACCAGACCCTAGGATCTACCCAGGAAATGTTGCTATCGAGAGTTATCCTCTCTGCCCCCCACCACCACTCTATTGCCTTCCCACCCCAAGTAAATTCCCCAGCCACTAGAGAGGATGAAGTCCTCAAATCAACACGAGGTGAGTCTCACCGGATTCTCAGCGCCCTTTGGCAAGTTCCTCTCCAAGAGAGGGTTGTTTGACTATTTATTACATTTTAAAAAAAATAAATCACCAACCCCAACAGTTCACAAACCAACCATCAGAATCCAGCTTAACTCAGGTTTTTGGTCTGTCTGGTTTGTGAACTCCCCCTGCCCACCCTCAATGTGTGTGTGACAATAACAGGTTGAAAACTGAACCGTAACCACGTACAGAGTGTGCACAAACCACATTCAGGGCATGGGCTCCCCAACTTCCATGCCCCATTGGCCAGAGCTCCCTGGCTCCCAATTCACTCACTGACCCCCACCAGGCTCCTGCAGCCTCCTCCCTTTGCCCTCCACTCAAGAAGGCTCCCCCACTTATCCTTAGTAGGGTCCTGAAGGGCCCCCATTCCCATAAACCACCCAGGCAGCCTCCCCCTGTCTCTAGCCTGCAGGGGAAGGCTTGGTAGTGAGGGAATGAAGCTGTGGCTAGCGAGCTCAGAATGGGTGCAGCTCCAGGCCTATCGAGGAAAAATTGGAGCCCTGGCACATCATGTTCAATGGGGTCCCTCCCATTTATTTACACAGACATTAGGCCACTCCCACCTTGAGCTTGGGGGCCCCCAAACAATTGTCCCTCCTTTCCATGAGCCCTAGGGTTTCTCTGGTCAGTTGTGCCTGCTCCAGGACTCTGCCCGCTGAAAACATACACTCTTCTGTACTGCAGTCAACTGCTCTGGCTGCCAGAAACACAAACAGCCTGTATTTTATCATGAGAATCCTCCCCAAAATTGTACCACTTCCCGGGCTGGCAGCACTACACACACACCTGCGCATACGCAGAGTACCGACTCCATTTCGCACTTCTATTAATATACAGTTGAACTTAATGCTGGGAACCAACCCAAAATATTATTCCGTTTTCCTAGCTGTAGCGTTCCTACAGGCTATTTCTGTGCCTAACCCATTTTGTTCTCAGGGATCCCTTTTAAAAAGGTGGCAGTGAGACTGGGCTTGACTTAACTTACAATGGGCTTGATTTAAAACTCACATATGCTGGCTTGTTCTACTAGATCTTGAAGATCTGCTGTTGCAGGAGGATTTTTCAAATAATGCAATGATGCACATTTGTGTGTCAGAGGTTAGTGCTGAGTCAGTGTGTTTTGCAGTTGTGAGGCTAGGAACAGAGTCTCTCTGTTGCAAAAGGGACACAGGGCCAAAGTCTGATCTTGCTTTCATCAGCAGCTCTCCAGAGAGACTCCACTGAAGTAAATGGAGTTATTCTGGATTTACAGTGCTATGAGCAAGAGCAGACTTTGGCAGTGAGCTTCCCCAAACCTGCACTGCAAGGAGAAATATGGTGCTCTCATAAAATACTGAACAAACAATAAACTAGATGATAAAACATATTAGTAGGGTGTCCTCCTACTAATGCAAAGCTTGCCAGATCTCAGGTACTTGGGAAAGGAGACACCTTTTCTCTATTAACTCTGATTTGCTTTCTCTTCTTCTTTCTATAAATCACTGCCACTGAGATTAACAGGGGTTATATGATGTTATAAGTATCTGGTAAGTAATGTAATTGTTATTTGTGATCCCATTCATTCTTGAAAGCTTTTTTTACTAGAGGGGATATCTTCAATTTTCTGTGTCATTCATTTATAAAGAAAGTTGATCAGACCTAGAGCTGATGGCAAAGATTTGACAGTGGCAGGCAAAGAATCAGCTGGAAATGTTAAGTGGATGTCTAAAGTTCCAGCATCTTGTAGCGTGGCGGGGGACCATCGCAGGTGAGGGCTGGGTAGTCCAATCATATCCAGTTTGGAGTTCACAGAGTTGGAGTGTTGCTCCAGTTTTTAACCCCTCTTTTTAAAAGCAATGTTGTTTACGTTGCACTTTTATATAGTTTAAGTACATTTTGTGCTCATGAAAGATGCTGAATTGACAGCCTTGGAGACAAAGGTCCTCTGACTAGTCCAGAACAATATGGCACAAGCAAGTCACAGTGCAGTTTCCCCAAACTAGCTGGTCTATGTGTTCTCAATCCTAACCTGGAGGAATTTCCCCATAGAATATGGAGCTTGTTCATTTTCCAAGTCCATTCAGTTCTTGGTGTTTTTACTGGGACTGTTAATCTGGGTGCCACCTGTGATGCAAACACCCATTCCTTAGTTACTAACTCCACTTAGGGCACCAGCCATTCAATGATTGATAACTACGGCTCTCGATAAATCACAGTTAACTCATGCAATTAACTCAAAAAAATTAATCCCAATTTAAAAAAATTAATCGTGATTAATCGCACTGTTAAACAATAGAATACCAGTTCAAATTTATTAAATATTTTGGACGTTTTTTCTACATTTTCAAATATATTGATTTCAATTACAATACAGAATACAAAGTGTACAGTACTCACTTTATATTACTTTTATTACAAATATTTGCACTGTAAAAATGATAAACAGTATTTTTCAAGTCACCTTGGACAAGTACCATAGTGCAATCTCTTTATCATGAAAGTGCAACTTACAAATGTAGATTTTTTTTGTTATATAACTAGACTCAAAAACAAAACAATGTAAAACTTTAGAGCCTACAAGTCCACTCAGTCCTGCTTCTTGTCCAGCCAATTGCTAAGAGAAATAGGAGATACTGCTGCCTGCTTCTTATTTACAATGTCACTTGAAAGTGAGAACAGCCATTTGCATGTCACTTTTGTAGCCGGCATTGCAAGGTATTTATGTGCCAGATATGCAAAACATTCGTATGCCCCTTCATGCTTTGGCCATAATTCCAGAGGACATGCTTCCACGCTGATGATGCTCGTTAAAAAAATAATGTGTTAATTAAATTTGTGACTGAACTCCTTGGGGGAGAATTGTATGTCTCCTGCTCTGTGTTTTACCTGCATTCTGCCTTATATTGTTCTAGCAGTCTTGGATGATGACCCAGCATGTTGTTCATTTTAAGAACATTTTCATGCAGATTTGACAAAACATAAAGAAGGTACCAATGTGAGATTTCTAAAGACAGCTACAGCACTCAAGATTTAAGAATCTGAAGTGCCTTCCAAAATCTGATTGGGACGGGATGTGGAGCATACTTTCAGAAGTCTTAAAAGAGCAACACTTCGATGCGGAAACTACAAAACACGAACCACCAAAAAAGAAAATCAGCCTTCTTCTGGTGGCATCTGACTCAGATGATGAAAATGAACATGCGTTGGTCTGCATTGCTTTGGATTGTTATCGAGCAGAATCCATCACCACCTTGGATGCATGTCCTCTGGAATTGTGGTTGAAGCATGAAGGGACATATGAATCGTTAGCGCATCTGTCATGTAAATATCTTGCAACGCCGGCTACAACAGTGCCATGCAAATGCCTGTTCTCACTTTCAGGTGACATTGTAAACAAGAAGTGGGCAGCATTATCTCCTGTAAATGTAAACAAACTTGTTTGTCTGAATGATTGGCTGAACAAGAAATAGGACTGAGTGGACTTGTAGGTTCTAAAGTTTTACATTGTTTTATTTTTGAATGCAGTTTTTGTACATAATTCTACATTTGTAAGTCCAACTTTCATGACAATGAGATTGCACTACAGTACTTGTATTAAGTGAATTGAAAAATGCTATTTATTTTATTTTTACAGTGCAAATATTTATTATAAAAATAAATATAAAGTGAGCACTGTACACTTTGTATTCAGTGTTGTAATTGAAATCAATATATTTGAAAATGTGGAAAACATCAAAAATATTTATATATAATTATTGTTTAACAGCATGATTAATCGTGATTATTTTTTCAAAACACACGATTAATCACAATTAATTTTTTTAATCGCTTGACAGCCCTATTGATAACACTTTCAGTAACAACCAACCTGGCCTTACTGGACCAGGTGACCACAGGTGAAATGCTCTGTATCTCAGTCCTTGTCATTCAACTGAGCCATCCAGTCTCACCTTGTCTTCTTTTTTATACCACTATTCTACTAACTCTTCCTAGATGTAGTAATTCCTTAAGTAGAGAAAACTCATTCGAGTACTGACACTAACATAAATCGTAATCCCCCCCCACTTTGCCCTGCACTCTGATACTCAGTAACACAGTTCTGATAGCATAGTCTAAATGACATAGCTTTATCTTAGTAACAAATTGATGAATTGACACAAAATGAAATATTCCACCTACAGCAGCCCGAGAGAGAGAGTGACTATTGGTCCACTTACATCATTTGGAATAGTAAGCTCATGGGAACTGGTTGGAGTAGTGGCATCCAATCCTATATTGAGGGGACAGAGGGGAACACATTATGCCAATCGTTTTGAAAAAAAAGAGAAGACACAACAAATGATATTTAAAAGAAGGAAAATGTGGGGGAAAAAGATAAAAGAGTAGCAATGAAAAATACAGAACTGCTAGCAAAAGAGAAAAGAAAGCAAGAGATGCAAAAATTAAGAGCGTTGGACTGACTTTAATTTATTCTTATTTTAATTAACCTTTAACCCACCAAAATAACAAATGTCACAGCAGAGTCTACAATGCTATAAAAAGTTTTTAGAAAGTGGATAGTTCCACTTATAAATAACTATGAAATTTGTTCCATATACATTAATTGTCAAAAATGAATGGATGTTTGAATTTTGATCTATCTACCAGGACCACTGAATTACACAAAATAAAAAGTGGAAATCTAAGGTAAACAAAAAGTAAAATGTGAAAAGAAAACTGATAAAATAAAGGAAGGTGGGGAAAATAAACTAGGTTAACTTAAATTGTACATGGGATTAGTGATGTTGCAGAAATGTTGGAAAGAACTTTTTTTTTTTAAGGGAAATGTACAAAATACTGTAAGTTGCATACATTTGTTTTTAAATTGGGTGGACAAAAGGAAAATGCTTAGGAGAAATGCAATTAGTGATCTAACACTCAGTATAGTTATGGAAACATACAAATCACAAACATAACAAGGAAAAGATTAAGGAGCACCATGTTAATGACAAGTAGAAAAACAAGGAAAATATAAAGCCAGGAAAGGTAATTTAATATTATTTGCTGATATTTTATCAGATACACCATGTAGAAGCAAATTATATCGTGTGTGTCATTTTTCTTTCTTCCCTTTCCAATTTTTCTGGGTATAAAGATATATTTTAAAATGTATTTTTTCCACAACTAGCAAAGATGGAAAAGGAATAATTTTATTCAGAATACCTTATCTAAATGTTCATTATATTTACATTAATTTGTTTACATATTGTGTATGTTTATTTTACACTTTGTGTATATTTGCTGAATATTGTAGTCCAAAAATCATATAAACAATTAAAATAATGAAATGATTCAGTCTCTCACAAAATTTGATGTATTTGATAAAAATGTTATTACTTGTCCTACAAAATATGTACCAGTGTATATTTATTCATGTCTTGGGAAGATCTTGAATTCCAAGCCCAATATTTACTGAAACAAGAAAGTTTATCTAATTTCAATCCTCTTTTCCAGACAAACAAATATACCTGGCAGGCCTTAACAATTATGACCTTAATTGAGCAAAATTCCATTGCCTTCATTGGGAGTTTTGCACAATTAAGAACAGCAGAATTTGTTCCAATGACAACAAGCATAATGGAAGTGAAAAGGAATTTTAGTGGACAAGGGATGCTTGTTTAGGCCCTCAATTGTATGTTCTAAAATTTTTAATTAATCTGTAATTATGTTGTAAATACATTTTCCATTCTTTGATTTTAATTTCTCTTTGGATTTTTTCATTGCACAATACAAAAACAGAGGTCCAACAAAATTAATTTTATCAAGTACTTTAGGTAATACTAACTGGTACATACTATGTGGTGCATAATAACTTTGCATAGGACTAACTCAAAGAAACTCAGGCTCTTTAGCTGATGGCACAAATTAAGTAGATTGTATTAAAATAAATGGAACAAACAAAGCACAAGAATTTAGTAATGACAAAAACAAACTAACAGAGCCACAGGGAAAAAGAACAAAGATTAAGGTGTGAAAACAAAAGGATCATTGGTCATTGCCCACATTTAGTATTAAAATGATGTAATGACCATGGAAAACAAAGCTGTTAAGAAGAAGGACATCCCCAGGGGGTCATGGGTACGTACCAGGGAAACCAGGGGTGGTCTGCCCAAGGGGAGTAAAGGGGGGATGCTGCATAGCCAACTGGTGAAGCTTGGTCAACTGCAGGGCAGGATGGGAAATTAGAACTAACCAATCAAATGGAATTATTTCAGAGTAGAGAAAACCATCTTACATGTTTTAAAACTGGATTAATTAAAATTAAAATAAAGGTTTAATCATTCATTCTATTCTACTGTATAGAAAAACTGGTTAAAATGACGTCTCTATTGTTATTACATGTAATGGCTATTGTTAATATTAACTACTTTTCTGTAGAATTACATATTAAAAACTCAAGTACATAGCATGCATAAAAGACAAAAAACTGTCATTTGTATCTGGGGCATTGTACTTTCTAGCAATTATTACAGAAGTTATCCACTAATGCTAACACTTGGCTACATGGTACACTGTTAAGTACAGGCATCTACAGGCATGTCTGAATTTTAACTGTAGAAAGTAAATGCTGCCCAGAACAAATAAGAGAGAGAGAGAGAAAGTAGAAGGGAGTAATTTACATGCGCTGGACTCACGTCTGGATGAGGGATGGCATACTGCCCCTGAATTGTAAACGCCTGAAAATGACAAGCAAAATTAAAGATATGTATCAGTCAAATTAGACAATAAGTACTCCACGTTCATCAGGCTAGAGAGAACCTTGTGCTATTTTCCAGATCTAATGCAAATCACATTTCGTTACATGCGAAGAGAAGCTTAGTTTTCTTGTGCTGCTTTGACAGCCACACAGTACAGGAAGGGCTCTGTTGTGCCTTTCCGTACAGCCCAACGGGCGAGGTGTCACGAGGGGCACTGCAACAGTGGGTGCTCCAGGGGCAGTGGGTGCTCCAGGGGCAGTGGGTGCTCCAGGGGCAGTGGGTGCTCCAGGGGCAGCAAGCACTTTCCACCACACGGGTCTAACGCCATGGGTCTGTGTGGAAGAGGAGTGGGGCCAGAACTGGCTGCTGGACTCGCTTGGAGATGTCTTTGTGCTTATCTTCAGGTGGCCCTACAAGACCATGTTTTTTTCAGCCTCCTCCATCCCTGAGGTAACTGATTCCCGTCCATCTTTCTCACACCACTCCGCACAAGGCTGGCGTAAGGGTTTTGAAACAATTCGTGGGGACAGACAGCAAAATTAATTTTCTTCTTGTACACAAAGATCCAGATTCTCAACTGAAACCCAGCCCTTTGCCCCGCTCAAGCAGTGCAAATGGCCAGCATGGAATTCTGCTGGTACTGGATGGAGGAAGCTCCTGTGCCAGCCATAAGGGGCATGTCAGGGAAGGGAGGAGATACATGATGCCGTGGCTATCCTCTCCTGGTGTATGCCAGTGGCGGTAATTAGAATAGCCCCTTCTCTCTCTCATTGCCTCTATTAAATTCTACAGGACGGTTTAAAAAAAAACAACCTATACAGAAAGTTGTAATTGTCTATTACATTCTGCATGACTTTTCCAAAAGGGAGAGCCCATCAAAACATTTTAATGTGTTTGTGCTTAGGCAGGAGGGAAAACAGAAGGACAGATTATAATGTATAACTATTTGTACAAACAGAATCATAAACAGGAAGAGAGCTGATTAGCTTAGGTTGCAAAATGCTTATTTGACAAAAAGGTCTCTGAGAAAGAAATGAATTTTCTGAAAATTATAGAACAATTCATTTAACGGAGTTTAATTAAACGTTCCAGCTGCTTATTAGAAATTTGTACACCAGCACTTCTCTCCTTGAGCAGAAACATTTCCTTTATTTTAAAGTTACTTATGAAGTCGGGCCCCAATCCTACAAATACTTATGCCTGTGAGTATCTTTATGCACACGAGTGCTATTGAATACAATGGGACTAGTCATGTGCATAGTCAGTTATGTGGAGGTTTGTAACACTTTGATCAATTGTAAATTAAGGCCCTGAGCCAGAAAAACACAAAAGCACATGCTTATGTTCCACCAAGAGCAGTGTCATTTAAGGACATGCTTAAAGCTCAGCATATGTTTAAATGCTTTGCTGAACAGGGATAGACATAAGCACATGCTTAAAGTTGAGCACGTGCTTAATTGTTTTGCTGGGTCAGGGCCTAATGCAGGTGTTTAACTTCAAGCATGAGAGTAGTCCCTTTGATATCGTGCTTAAATATTCTGCTGGATTGGGGTTTAATTCTGCGGGCAAATCATTTGGACTGAAAAGCACCTCACTATACCTTTGACCTACTTCAGCTGTGTTCAATCTGAGCCTAGCTCCATTTCAGATATAGTACAAAGAGCACACTTCAGCAGAGGTGCTGGAACAATTTCTACGGTGAGGGGGCGGAGAGCCATTGAACCAAACTGTAAACCCTGCACATGATGGAGACCACTTCAAGCCAGGGGATGTGGCAGCACCCTCAGCACCCCGAGTTCCAGCACCTTTGCACTTCAGATTGTAAAACGCTTCAGGGCAGGACTGTGTCCTCTCCATTGTTGGAACAAGCCAAGCACATTTTGGGAGTTACTGAAACAGAAATAATAAATAAAAATAATTGACCAAATGCATGGAAAGAGGAAATGGTGGCTTTAATCTACAAACCAGGGGGTGGGATCCTGTTCCCAATAAAGTCAATGGAAATTTTGCCACTGACTTCAAAGAAAGCGGGAATGGTTGGTCCCCTGGGTCTAAAATTTGCCCTGATTTACAGCCTGTGACGCAACTGAGATTGAATGAAGGGTAAGTCAGGGCAAAGTCTGTCCCTGAAGAGACAATGCTGGAAGTGTGCATTTTTGGGATAGGGTAATGTACAAAAAATATGGATAGACAAATGGGACGAAACCTTGTTTCTTTCAGACATGGGTGGTGCTTTTGGATTGTTTAAAGAAACAAAAAAACCCAACTGCATATGCTGGATTTCATTTAAGAGCTAAGAGAAAGGCAGCACTGTGTTCACCTTCCTTTCCGTTCTGCTACTTAATACCATACTGAGAAAAGGACAGAGAGGATTAAAAAAATGTTTAAAGCAGCAAAACCCATGCAAAATCCCATCTCGTCAAATAATAGTAGGTGTTTGATTTTTCCAGGGTAGCTTGATATGCAGAGTATAGTTAAGAAACAAACAAACCCCAAATCTTTCAGCTTAACCATGGAATAATTTAGAACTGAAACTGATCCTACAGGAAGGGAGAGTGACCCCATCCAGCATCTCTTCACTGCTGATACCATTTTATTTTGTTTTCAATATTAATTTGTAATCAGGATTTCTTATTACACTATCAAAAACATAATGCATATACTATATTTTGACACTAGAAATAAAATCCATGAGAAATCCTTTCCTTGCTATCTCCCAAGCCCACCGCTACCATTTTCTAAGGTACTGAAGAATTTGCCTAATAAGGGGAAGAGACTACAGGTTCAAAGGTGCACACAAAATATCGGAATCAGCTATTTTTTTCTTGATTGACTTAGGCCGTGTGAATAAAAATATAGAACACCCAGCTGTTTTCTTTGTGATTTATAAAACTAAAGATGATTAGAATCCAGCAATCTGTTACACTATATGATAAGACAGAATTTCAAATTCTTATTCCAACTGTTGAGAGCATTCTAGTGCCTACTTTTAGTATTCTTTTATTTGAGTAATTTGTTATGCACTGAGACAATCTTTGATGGTAACACCATTTACAGCACTGCTACTGTGCATCACTGAATATATATACATCTGCTTTAAAGGAGAACACCACACTATAAACTTAAAATATATGTCTGGCGTAACTTACTCTGTGAACTTTCACAGTCAGCTGAGATCAAATTCTGGAAAAATAATTTCAATTCTATAAATTAAGAAAGTAGATATCTTACTCTGAAGAATACTAGTCAAAGTAAGAGCAGCAGACCTGGATAGGAGGAATTAATATTGAGTTAGGTTTTTTTTTTTCTCAAAATTTACCATAAAATACTTCTGCCAACCATGACTGTAACTGGAGAGTCAATATAAAGGATATTAAAATTTTTGTAAAGTGGCTAGTTAGCGTTATCAAATAATAATGTTGGAAAAACTTTTAATCCATAATGGCCTGACCTGCTCTTTGATGCACTTATGAGATGTAGCCTTCCTATGAACCAGCAGCTCTACAGAACCCCAAGGTGCTCCAAATGGGTGCTATGGCAGCTACAGATGCCATCTGTTCTCATATAGTTCCAAGCGAGGGGGTGACTCGACACTCTAGGACATCACTCTGAAAACCGTCAGTGGAAGGCCTCTCATTTGGCCATAACATAAGCGATCGTGGAGAAATGGTGTTCTAGGAGAACTGTTGGCACAACAGCTCACACATCATACCAGTGGCACGTCTAGATAGTCCACTGGCTGTGTGTATTGTTGGGATGTCAGTTTATCAACAGCTGCCTTTCTCCACATTAGATGATGATAGGGCAAGCTGCAATGAAGCACCAGGTTAGTATGCCTATTTCAAGGCAATATCCAAAGGGAAGAACAAGATACATTGTATGGAAACACCACAGAAGGGCTGAAAGTGGGTGGGAACCATGGTCATATGGCTTGAAGGGGCAGCAAGATGTGGGGGGAACAGCCAAACCTCCACCATGTAAAAAAGCAAACAACAACAAAGCTTTGGATATGGTATAAATCAGGCTGTGCAGAACAGGTGGAACCTCTTCAGGACAGAGATGGTCTACTGCTCTGTTACTGTGCCTACCACAAAGGGGCCCCATTCTTGGTTGGGCCATAGGCACCACCGTAAGAAATAATAGTAAAAATAATACAGCATATAATACTTCTTGTGTGCATATTTTACCCAGGAAGTCATGACTGGGCCCTATGGAATATTAAAATTATGAAAACTTGAAAACTAGAAGAGCATTTCTTCAGCAGAAGCTCTGTACTCTGTGATCACATGGTGAAAGCTGATCAATATGGTAACTTAGTTATATTACTTTATAAAATTGATGAAACCGCAACTTAAAAAAATAATACAAAGGTTTGTTCCATTAAAGCATTTCTGATTTTGGATACCAGTCTCTTTACAACAGAACAAATTACCTCCTTACTGCAGAACCTAATTTTAAATCTTGACAAAATACCAGTTGTCTTATTTTTGTTCCTTTCTGTTGTAGAAGATTACAGAGTTATACTCTAATTCAGAGGTTCTCAAACTGGGGTTCGTGGACCACCAGTGGTTTGCGAGCTCCATTCAGGTGGTCCGCAGCTAGTTCCCCCTAAGGTGCGCGCCTGGGTGGCCGCACACAACAGAATGAAGGGCCACCCACCTAATTAGTGGAGCTGCGCAGGGGTGGCTCCACTAATTAGGTGCCTGGACCCTGGAGAAGACACATATGTAAGGTGAGGTGTTGGCCTGGGGGGGGGGGTGGGATAGGGGCTAGGTGGGAGGGGCAGTGGGGCGAGAAGAGGGGGTGGGAGGAATTTGAAACCTGCCGGGCTGCGGTGGCCAGAGAAAGAGGCGACTTTCCCCAGCTCCCGGGCTGCGGCTGCCAGGGAGAGACGGCCCTCCTTCCCAGACCCAGCTCCGGGGCTGCTGTGGTGGGGGACAGATCCCTCTCTTTCCCAGCCCCAGTTTGGAGGCTGCCACAGTGGGGGAGAGAGGACACAGCCATCGCATTAGAAAGGTAACACTACTGATATTAAAATATGAGTTGTGTGCTTTTATTTGTAGAACCAAAAAATGTTAATTATTAATAAGGTTTTTTTTTAAATAGTGCTTTTATCCAAAGTGCTTTACAGTAGTTAGCTAATGGTACAAAAAACATTTGGAAAGATCATTAAGTGGTCCGGCGAGACTCTCAGCAATTTTCAAGTGGTCCATGAAAAAAAAAAAGTTTGAGAACCACTTCTCTAATGTGTTGTCAGGTAGCAAGCAGAATATCCCTGATGCAGCTACTCATGGTAGGTGACAAGTTCCTGGCAACATCAACTATGATGTTGCATTTACTGGAAGAGACAGAGAGAAAAAAACAAAACAAAACAACCCAGTGTCAGGGACATCACTGAAATGAATAGGGTACAAGTATCAGAGGTTTATTCAATAGCAATACAGAAGACAAGTTAAAAGAAGCCCTTGACTTGTTTTCATTTTAAGTTTATAACACAGTGTTCTCCTTTTCTGCAAGCAATAACAATCCACACTGGATAAAACACATTCATACTATACCAGGCAAAAAAGTATAAAAGGTGAAAACTAACAGGCGCTGGCTGAGGTTGGGCCAAGACGGTGTGGTTTCCAGCTGAAGCCAAAATGGTGTCTGCTCTTACCTGGCCACCTGCAAAAATGATAGGTGCAGAGGCAGGTTTGGGACGGTAGGGAATGGTGGCACCTTTGGGTGGGGACTGAAAGCAAAAACATATCAAGATGTGGAATTAAGTAGCTCAAATAAAATCATTTTTTACTTTGTTCACCTCACACAGCAATTACATGCCTCTGCCCCATTCACCAGCATATTCTCGCAAGAGCCCAGATCGTGCTCCCATTGAATTCAGTGGCAAAATTCACACTCACTTCAGGGGTATGGGCTAAGGTCCTTATTACGTAGGCAAAAGAAAAATGCAGACAGGTTTGTTTTTGTTTCCACAATAATTTGGTAAAGATTCAAGGGGCCTGGGAATGAATTTAGCTTTTCATGAGATCTAATGAAGTTAGGTGCCAATTTTGAAACTTGCCAATCTTTTGGGAGACTCTCCCCAGCGTTCTCTCTTTGCACAAACCTGTTAAAAGAGAACAGTACATTCAGTTGATAACCCTTTGTGCGCTGTCACGCAGCCAAGTGTCCCAGTATAAAAGTGAAATAAGAATTTTCAGTCTGTGCTATAGTCACCACGCTCATTGAACTCCGGGGATAATTAAATGGGCCAGATCCTGCATTCCACTGAACTCAGAGTGAGAAGTGTAGAGGAAAGTCATGACTAGTGTAGGCCTATTCTCACTGCCTTCAATGGGAGTAAGACGGGTCCTCTCCAAGTAACAGAAGAAGAAAATTGTTCTGAGAGTCAGTAGATAAAAATGTGATCAGTAAATACTTGACCAAGCATGAATATTTCTTTATAGAGACTAAGACAGACAAAATGGCCCTGGGAACAATCCTGTAAAACAGGCTTCAAATTATCTGCATAGTGTCTGGCACAATGGAGTCCTGACCTCTAGGAACTACTGCAATCAACCACCACCATCACTAAATAACATTTCCACATCCTAATTCTCTATTATTGGCTATTTGATTTTAATAAAGCAGTGACCCTTGCCAAATTAAATACATTGAACAAATTAAACACATTTATTTTATGTACGCTTTAATGTTTGAAGAAGCAAAATGCAGTTACATCATTGTCTTCTCTAAGGCTTCAAACTGGTAATTTGCTGTCTCTAGTTTATTATCTCTAAAATTAAACAAGTTCTGTTTTCTATACTTTCAGAACTGTTTATCTCAAAGAAAATGGCTCTATAGGCAGAAAACGACTCTCTGGCCCCGGTTTGTCTCTTCAAATAACTATGGGTGTAATTAATATAATTTAGACATCAGAATACTGCCTGCATCCACAAAGCAGGTAGTTAAATGACTACATGCCAGTAATGGGAGATGCAAAATTGTTCCTGCAGTTATTTGCATCTGCAAAGCTGTGAGAACAAAATGGGAAGTGAAAGGACAGAATTAAGCCCTTTTCAAAATCACGCCCTTTAAATTATATTCTAAATTCTACACACAGAGAAATGGATTTTTTATATTCCAACAGTTTATCAATTCTTCACAAAGTCATGCCAAGCTCTCTGTGGCTAATAGACCAAAACTGGTTTTCAGTATTTTCTTTCTGTTTTGCTACATTTTTATGAACATCTAATGCCAACTGAAGCAAGAGCCCCTTATCTGCAAGACAAACTTTGGTCCTTACAATAATAATAGTTTATAACATTGATATTTATTAGGTTGCATTCTCTTTTGATGTGGAGTGGTTGCTATTAACCAGACAAGAGTGATCAGATTGTAGTATCAGAGATGCCACACATCCTACTATATTTAGAATAAAGAATAACTGTCGGATGTCAGGCATCATAGCGTGGTAATTTTTGACTAGATCAGTGGTTCTCGAAGCTGGTCTGCCGCTTGTTCAGGGAAAGCCCCTGGCGGGCCGGACCGGTTTGTTTACCTGCCGCGTCCACAGGTTTGGCCGATTGCGGCTTTCACTGGCTGCGGTTCGCCGCTCCAGGCCAATGGGGGCTGCGGGAAAAGGCGTGGGCCAAGGGACATGCTTGCTGCCATTCCCGCAGCCCCCATTGGCCTGGAGTGGTGAATGGCGGCCAGTGGGAGCTGCAATCGGCCGAACCTGCAGACGCGGCAGGTAAACAAACCGGTCCGGCCCGCCAGGGGCTTTCCCTGAACAAGTGGCACACTGGTTTTGAGAACCACTGGACTAGAAGTAATGGAGCATTTTTTTTCACAGAATGTTTTTCCACTGGAAAATGTCAATTCAACAACATTGAAATGTTTTGGAGGAAATGTATTAATTTTGTCAAAATTTTCAACAATAAATTATTAAAATGTTTCATTTTGGTGAGGTTAAAATATTTCGTTTAGACCTTATTGATGCATTTGGCTTCAATAAGGCCAGAACATTTTGTTTTGATAAAGTTATATTATACTATATTAAAAAAGCAGATGATAGCAATATAATATAATCAAAGCGACAAATTAAAAATGAAACATTTTGACTTTATAGAAACAAAACGATGACCTTATTGAAATGTTTCAACCATATCAAAACCAAATATTTCAATAATGTCAGCATGAAGTGTTACAGGGTATTCTGTTTCATGGAAAATACTGAGGTTTCTACTTTTTATCCTGATTTGGGGTGGGACTTGTGTTTTTCCACTAGCTGTTGACTTTTTAATGACAATCAGTGTCGAAGGGTTGTATTCATGGTAAGTAGATCCTGCTCTAATGGTTTGATCAGTGAGGCACTGTGCACTCTAAAACCAGAAGCGTTGACAACTAGTCTTGAAATCACTGGGAGTTGGGGGAGATCAGCTTCTTACAGGATCAGGGCTTGAGAGAGAGTGGGGGGATTTGGAGGAAATTAATATAATTTCTGAACATTATCAGTATGAACCTCAACGTTTTTAAGTGCTCTCTTACCTCTAGCATGACCACACAGATTTGTTTTACACACTGAATAATGGCATCCGGAGTGCCCGATATAGTTACAGCACGTTCTGTTGAATTTGGCAACATATCCCCTGCTACTTGTACCTGGGCCCCTGTGGACTTAAGAAAAAAACAAACGAAACAAACATTAGTGTTGTCAAAATACAGCTGCACATTAGAAGCCATTTATTCACCAATAACAAATAATCTGATAAAGCACAGAGATATCTAAAACGTGCCTGTTCTCTGCTAGCTTTATGCTGTATATATATAAAACTGCAGAGTGTAGATTTGCATACGGAAGTCAAGTTTGCAAGCATTCTCAATGGTAGAAAGTGTAGTTATCAATGGTTGTTAAATGAATACATTGGGAAGTCTCCCATCTTCCTGAAACAGAGAGTACTGCAGATACAGTGGATTTTTCCACTAAGGACTTTCACAATCATTAAGATGATCATTAAAAAAATAACTGTCTGAAGAGCTTCAGCCTCCCAAATGAATTCCAATCATGGATGGGTGATTCCTTAACGAACTGATGATTGCGGTCATTTTACTGAATGAAAATTGGGGTTGCTTTATACTCTGGAATATCTCAGTGATGCAGAGCAATACAGGTGCACTTCTAAATTATTATTAGTGTTGATTAAACATATGCACATCATCAGTTTCTAGTTCACTAATGAACCTAACCATGTAATGAGTCAATGGTTTTTTCCCCTCCTTAATCTTGACAGTAATGGTTCTTAGTTAAAAAAAAAAAAAAAAAAAAAAGACTTGAGGCCAAAATCATTCCTGGTATAACCCAGCAAAAATCTTGTAAGCCTTTTTCAATTGATGGGAAAAAAATAACAAAAACTATTTCTATTGAATTAGTATTTTCATACATTATACACACAATCTATTTCTGATTTGTGGATACAAATGTTTTTGCCTTGCATTGATTTTGTGTCAGTCAGTAAGGAGTTAATTTAGTTTGCTGTTGGCCATACACAACACATCTTACTCTTTTTCCAGAGACTGATTAAATTACTGATTACATCTTCTGTTCACTAGTGCTGTTTAAACTCAGAATATCCATTATGGGTCTCTCTAATATGCTTTGGAATGTCACCAGAATTTGATCAATCTTTCATGTCATTGTGCCTCTTCTTTTTTTTAAAATCAGGTCTTGAAAATACTGAGGCAGACAACATGTTGCTGCTGGGTACAGAATTGAGTATAAAAGAACATCTGTCATACTGCTGCTGCTCAATGTGTTGCGTGATGATGAGATTAGAATGCATCTTGAGAGGATGGTTGATCCTTTTTCATTTGGGCAGTACTCATCATTTAAAACAAAGTTTTTAGAGTACCAGCAGGCCTTGTACAAAATACTCTGGGTCAAATACTGCTTCTCAGTTACAGCTGTGCCATTCAATCACTCAAATTGCTAATCTTTACAACTCTTTGCCTATAGTGGGATGGCATGTGTGAAACTGAGAGCAAAACTTTGCCATTATCTTTAGGTTTACAGAAAGGGAGAGGGAGTTAGTTCACACTGTTCTTTTGACCTAATACCTTACAATAGGGGGCCAAAAGTGTTGAATTTCCCCCAGAAATAAGAATCACCCCCAGAATCAACTGTGGTTGCACAATTTGGGCAATAATCAAATTTGGTAACAAATGAAGGAATTCAGGGGACAGCCAAGGGATTGGGCACCTGACTGCTCTTTCTACTTTTGACCACTTCCCTACTTATTGTTACACTAATCTAAATAAACATATTCAGAACTAGAGCTGGTCACAACTTTTCAATCAAAGACATTTGCCAACTATGTGATTTCATCAAAACCTTTCATAAAAAAGAGATTTCAATGAATTTTTTTGACAGGAAAATGCAAAACAAAACAAAACATTTAATTTCAACTCAACATTTTGATCAAAAATGTCAAATGTTTTTGGTTCAATATTTCCAAACTGAATTTTTTTGAACCTTTCCTTTTGTGAAAATATTGCATATTTCTACACTTTGTCCCCATTTCAGGACAAAAACAAACATTGAAACATTGGAATTTTCCATAGGATGAACATTCCATTTTTCAAAAAGTTCTGTTCAAAAGTAGGTACAAAATACCCCTAGAATGTATCTGATTATTAATTGTTTGACTGACTTTCAAAAAATTCTGCAAAAGTTTTGTCACGATAGCATACATTTTGTTGATGTATTAGGTTTATAAAATTGGTAATTGATCTAAAAATATCTTGGCAGTTTGTGACTAGAGGAAAATTGGTAATTGGCATTGTAAATTTAATATTAAAAAGTAATCCAAATACTGTCTATCTGATAAGATTTAATCGAAAGGAAAACTCAGATGTATCTGTTATCTAGACATGATTATGTGATGTATTTCCTGTACATGAGTACTTAATGTTGCTGAGTGGTCATTATTATGTTGCTGTAGATTTAATCAATTGTTCAGGTGCTTAGTACCTTTTGTATGGGCATTTTTTATTGTGGCTGAAATCTATCTAATCAAACAAACAAATAAATATAAACCTGTACCCATTTGGCTTAGCTCTGCAGTCTGAATGTTAAGAAGTTAAGAGGCACTTCTCATCATGGATAGATCATAAGATATAGTTATCAATAACATTTTTTGCTATAATTATTAATTTCTGAGCCCACACACTTAATGCCAGATCACTCCTTCTCCCACTAAAACCCAGAGGAGGGTTGGAGGCTGCAAGGGGGAACATATTTCCATGAGGATCTTCTTGCGGAGTTTCTCTTCACATAGTTCCATGCCCCCCCAACTGCCTGCAGCTCCAAAAGCAAAGTCCAGGAGAGGTCTCAAAACAAAAGCAAAACAACAATAAAACCCACAGACCCTCTGTTACAGAGCTGCTTCAGAGAGGTTATGGCCTCAGTGGATTTTGGGGTGGAGTGGATGTCCTAAGAAATAGCTTGGATTAAAAAATTCTATATGAGTTTCTCAGGATCAGTATATGTGAAATTAGGCCACCTGTGAAGCCATAATATTGGAGGCAGGATGGGGAGTAAAGGGAGTATGGAATGCAGTTAGAAAACCAATTTGACAAATCAAGGTAAGTTAAATATTATGCCTACTAACTTGGACAGTGTCCCTTTAAATTACTTGGCTTTTTCTGGCTACAGAGGCTGTAATTGAAACGCTCAGATTAGAAAAGGCTTAGCAGTACTTAAGCCCTAGATTATTTGAGGTATTTATGGATTTTTTTAAAAGTTGAAGAAACAATTCTGTGTTAAACTGTTCCTTTGCTACGTGGCATCTTGCTTTTTCCTCTTCTCAAATGTGTATCCGAATGCCAGCTGTGCACTAAAGATCTTGAAGGTCGGAGTTACTTTCTGAAGGGTTGCGACATGGAAAGACAAATTGCTTCTAAAACTGGTTATGCCACTGTAGATGCTCAGATTTCATGAGTCTACAGATGTTTTTGACACCTTTCACAGCTGGTTTGGCTTAGCATTCCATTCACAAAATATTTACATTAATGCAATGAACCAGCTATGGTGGCAGGACGCTGTAAGCCATACTCTTTAAATGGACATATTAGGACATTTAGCTACATAAAGTTATCTAGCATCCCCTGTTGGAATCCTAGAACTTACCTCCCTGATTTCTTTGATTTTGGAACCCCCTTTTCCTATAAGGGATCCACACTGACTTGCAGGGACTACAAGTCGCAGTGTCACAGGTGGTTTGCTTGTCACCGTGCTGTTTGTCATTGAAGCATTTATGTCCTGTAATAACAATGTCAATAAGAATTAGTTGAGGATTTGTCATTCCTCTTAGCACTTAAGAGGATCAAAGTAAATACTCAAGCTGTTCTCGGAGAATTGGTAAAATGGAAGCTAATCATGTTTTTGTAGCACATAAAGCAGCCAGCTCTGCTGGTGGCACCCCGGAAGCATGAACTGCATGATGACATCATGGCAATGGAACTGTTGATTCCAAGTGCTGAAATATGTAGGCACAAAGACAGTCTCTGATCAGCTAACAAATCACATTATATTTGTTAGCACTTTTAATACAAAGGAAACAACGGAGAAACAATAAACAACATTAGTCAACAGACATGGGAGAGCAAGGACTATTATTTTGATAAATATTTTGAAGTTTCCCATATTTAATTTTCCTGCAGATCTCAAAGCATTCTCAACACTGCTTAACTTTTCCTAAACTCTTTTGTGTCATAGCTATGTAATCCAAGTATGCAGATATGGCTGTGGGAATTGCATACACAGCAGCAACCACCTGTTCATCTCATCTCACCTCATCTCATCTAATCAGTGAGATTCTACTGTACCCTTCAGTGAGCATTTTAGAGTTCTGCCGGTTGTTAGCCTCAGATTTGTGTTAAATGTGCTTTGCTTATTCAAATTCTCCTTTGCAAGCACAAAACGGAATCCCCTAATGTAATATTTTTATTACAAATGAAATTATAATGCTTATCTTCCCACTATAGAATGTGCTACAGCTGAGAGCATTCCAGAATCCTAGATGTCGTTGGAAATAAAAAGCCACAAACACTACTGTGCAATTCTATAGCATCTTTCATAAGAGCATTGCAACATACTTTTGTCAACATTAACTAATTAAGGCACACCAGCGCTTTGACATAGGTTAAGGTAACTTTGCCCATCTCTGAGATGGAGTTCAGCAGCTGTTTAACAGCACACAGGAGCTTAGGACCTAGAGGGAAGGAAAATATCGTAACTAATGGAGGGAGAATTTAGGTTGACAGAGTTACTGTAATTACCCAAAATATAATTTGTCCCAAACCATCAGGATTGACACTTCTAATCTCATGAAAAGTGCCATGAGATCTTTAATGACCATGAGCGATCAGGACCTTGGTTCCACCTCTCACGCAAAAGAGAGGACCTCAAGGAGTACAGTGCTGCCTGATGCTATGTTGGTACGTTAGCACAGTAATGAAAAGTGCTATCCTAATGACCAGGAGTACTTTGGTATTTCTTACATTAGAGGTTTTCCATCTAAGTGTTGGCCCAGCCTGACCCTGTTTTGCTTAAAAAAAGCTGACAGACTCCCAGCACAATGAGGCATGGCTGCCTGCCACAGGTTAATTCTTAGGCAATTTCCCTCATCGACACTGCATCATGTCATATTTACTGTCAGCAAGAGGTTACAATCCAAAACAAAGCAATACAGGTTACAGCAAGTTGTGGCATGCATGCATCTGAAACACATACAGTGTAATATATATACATATTCTTTTGTACATGAATACAAATTTGTATTACCACAGTGTCTAGGAGCCTAGACATGGACCACGACCCCATCATGTTAGGTGCTGTACAAATGCAAGCCACAACTAGGTTTTTAGAAGTGGGATGCCATCAAATTTTGCCAAGTTGCTGTTAGCTGGTGGTATGCCACAGATATATAACATGCCTTTCACTTCAAAGACAGGCAAGCCCTATGTCACAAAAGATTGCCAAGCTCTCTCACATTTTGAATAAGCAATTTCTACCATTTGAACTGGGACCAATACATTAATAATATTCAGCAACTTCAAACTTCATAAACAATTAATTTATGGCCATAGCACCCGCTCTGTGTATTAACCTCACCGTTTTTTAAAAAAGGAAAAACTGCAAAGAGAGGATCATAGAGATGCCCAAAGCCACAAGGATGTCAGAAAAGGGCCAGAACTCAGGAATTACTGGCTCCTGGTTAGAGCAGGTCAGAAAATTTCCAAGCAAACATTTTTTTCCATGGGAAAATGTCAATTTGTCAACAATCTGCAGGAATATGTCAGTTTCAACAATATTCCAGTGGATATCAGGCAGGGTTCTCATGGTTCAGGCAGGTTTCAAAATTTTCCTGGTTTCTTGCCATGTTATCTGCCTGGCTCATTGGCAGCCAGTCTGGCTCTATAAACAACAACATATCACGTCTTTCCAAGATTGAATATTTCCTTGCATCCTGGGGAAAAAAACATGGAAGACTATGTGTGGAATTCCTCTCACTCCTGATGCCTGAAACTGCAGCAGCACCTCGCAGCCAGGAGCAACAAGTGCAGGAAATTCCTAATCAATCCAGGACTGGAACATGAGGGGAGGGATAGCTCAGTTGTTTGAGCATTGGCCTGCTAAACCCGGGGTTGTGAGTTCAATCCTTGAGGGGGCCATTGAGGGATCTAGGGCAAAAATTGGGGATTGGTCCTGCTTTGAGCAGGCGGTTGGACTAGATGACCTCCTGAGGTCCCTTCCAACCCAAATATTCTATTCTTCTATTCTATGAGCAATCACTTTGTGTGGATAAAGCATGCTCAGTGCAGATGGAATCTTCACCAAATTTAGTTGCTAAACTTAGATGAAACTTCCTCAGAAAAATGCAGTCTTGGGCAGACACCCAGCTGGAAAATTTCAGTCTACATTGTTTAAGTTTGGCAGAGTAATAAGCAACTGAAAACAGGATGTTATAATGGAAAGTGTCAGACAACATTAAATATAGGTGATGCTATCTGTGCCACCAATAAATTCCTTATATACTTTATTTTCCCGGTTGTCTCAGGTATATAAAGTACAAATTGACAAGGTCAGATTTTAAAGTAACAACATTTTGTATTCACAATTCTAACTCTTCATTCCACTTTTTCTTTTTTTAAACACCGATCCTTATTTTGATCATTTCCCCCCAAGACCTTGGTCCTACAAACACACCTGTGCTTAATTTATGCACATGAGCAGCACTGCTGGCCAAGAAGACTGCTCCCATGAATAAAATTAAGCATTCATGTAAGCGCTTGCAGAATCAGGGCCTAAGTTTTAAGTACTTTACTCCATAACTTTGCATTATTATGGTGAACTTTGGGAGCTATTCTTTGTGTAGTAATATATTTTGTTCTAAGCATTCTTAGAAAGTCACCACTTAATTTACATGTAGCCATAAAAAGAAAATTTCTAACATTAAATTATAATGCCATATTCATGAGTGGTTTAGAGTGGATTAGTTTTATAACAACTTCATTAAAGAAATGGGGGCAAATGAATGCTTGGCTTCTATTCTGTTCTATACAGTAATGTAGACCTGTGATTGCTTTATTCTGCAGCGAGTAAAATATTTTCTTAGCATATGGAAAAAAATTCAGCCAACATTTAGCGATATTTCCAAGTTGCTCTGTTAATAGACAATATTGGGCAGCTACATGCAATGTTTTCATTCTGTTTAGGTTTTGGAAAGTGAGTTTTAAAACTAGACAGCCGTGATAAAATGTTCCTGTTGATGTAACAAAAATATGTGCGCATCCCTATCTTTCCTACACAGCTAACGTTCATTCGGAGCTAAGTGGGGCTTTGCCAGCAGATTTGTATATGAGGCAGTACATAGCTGTGCTGGGCCAGGAGCAGCCTCGGAAGCTGATTGTGACCGCGATGCCTGGCACACTGACGGGCAGAGCCAGCTTCCCGGCTGCCTAGTCTCAGCTCATGTCTGGTGTTGGGGGGAGGGGGAAAGGGAGGAAATGGGGGGAACTGTAGCGCCTCTGCTGAGGAGGCCTCCCACCTATGCAGAATCTGGCCCAAAAGAGCTATGGAAGTGTGGCGAGCCCCCCTGACTCCCCAGCCAGCTAACTGAAGTTTTAGTGTTATAGTATTGTAGTATTTGAGGACCCCACAATCCGTAATATATTTACCTTCACAATGCTCCTGTGGGGGCAGGAAGTGCTATCATCCCCATTTTACAGATGGGGAACTAAGGCACAGACACACTATGTGACTTGCCCCAGTTGTACAGGAAGTCTATGGCAGAACAGGGAATTGTACCTGGATCCATAGGTGCCGACTCTGTGGGTGCTCCGGGGCTGGAAATAAAACAGTGGGTGCTCAGCACCTCAGCCCCATGATCAGCTCTTCCCCCCACCGCGATCAGCTGTTCAGCGGTGTGCAGGAGGCGCTGGGATGGAGGGGAGGAGCGGGGGCAGGGCGCGCTTGAGGTAGGGGGTTGATTGGGCCGGGAAGAGACGGGGTGGGTGCTTGGGGGAAGGGGTGGAGCGGGGGTGGGGTCTGGGGCGGAGCGGGGGTCAAGCACCCCCCCCGCAAATCACAAAGTCGGCACCTCTACCTGGATCTCCTAAATACCAGGTTACCTGCCTAACCACTGAAGCATCCCTCCCATCAGTAGCCAACAAAGTGTCTGAGAGTAAGGGCTACTGCATGGCAAGCCAGGATATGAATCTATAGCACCAGCTTGCTGTGCAGTACCGTCCCACAGGGACACTGCCACAGCACACTGAAAGTCTCAGAGCGTGGCTGGCATATTGCACGCTAAGCTGCATTCCAAGTCATGTGGTGCCCATGTGCAACATTACTGCATGACAAGCTGCTGCATGGTAGATTCACACCCTGGCTAGCTGTGCAGTAAATCTGCCATATGTAGAACCATTCTAGCTCAGTGCTCAGCAAACAGCCATGAGACTATTGGGCAGATCCTCAGCTGGTCTATGACAATTTAGTATCTGTGTAGTATTGGTTTCATACTTGATACGAAAGCTGATCAGATAATTATCTGATTAACTCTTCCAACAATTCCCTCCCACCCCCCCATTTTTACCCATCTAATGCAGCTGAGCAAGTATTTTGTGAATATTTGCAAATAAATATGGATTTTCACAACATTTTTCAAACACATTTTGGGAATGTTTCTCTGCATTATGCACGGAGCTCTACCTACTAATTACTATATCAGGAGATAATCCCATGCATTTGCAAGGGAATACAGATTTGGTGATCTAAGATGTCTTTGCCAGCTGCAACTTCTACAATGGATGTTGATTTTTGCCATTTTTCATAGGCCTGGTTTCCCTCTAGATAAAAGTGCCTATTTTAATCATCAGGGTGATCCAAACTGGGCTTGTCTAGCAAGCATATGAATTCATTAGCAACCTGCTAGAAAATAACATGCCTGTTGCTCTGAGAGATTGTTAAAGCTTTTTGGTAAAAGGCAGGAAACAATACCAGTGCAGAAAAATCTCTTTTAGGCCTGGCTTCCTTACACTAGGTTTTGATTATTTTATGTTTTATGTTGATTATTATATGTTTTGATTATTTGCTGGTATTAGAAAGGCTGGGTTGTTTGAGGGCTCGCATGTCCTCCCGGGATGTGTTTCTCCCCAGTTAGGTACCTGTGGTGTTGAAATGAAGATTTCACATAACTTTATCTTGAAAGCAAAAAAACAGCATTGAGCTGGTATTCACTTGAGCACCAAGAGCATTTTGTTCAACCACCAGTGCACCTCCCTGTGTCAGAAGCAATCCACAGAACTTAGTGATGGACGGATAGTACAAAGACAAAAAAATGTTATAATAGTTTATTCTGCCCAAAAGCATCCGTGGGTGAGGCTCTGGGCATTAAGGAAAAGGACTGCCTTGCTCCAGAGGGTAACGACTTATGAATGATTTTAGCCAACTTGATGGATGGAAGGATTTAGATTTAGAACAGAGATGGGCAAACTCCGGCCCGCGGGACCGTCCTGCCTGGCCCCCGAGCTCCTGGCCCAGGAGGCTCGCCCCTGGCCCCTCCCCCGCTGTCCCCCCTCCCACTCAGCCAAGCCGCCGCGCAGGCAGTGGGGCTGCAAGCTCCTGCCGCTCTGAGCGGCATGGTAAGGGGGTGGAGGTGGCGCGCATGCGGTGGTGGAAAGGTTGGGTAGGGGGATCCGGGGCGCAGTCAGGGGACAGGAAGCAGGGGTGGTTAGGGGCGGGAGGTCCCGGGAGGCCGTCAGGGGACAGGGACCAGGGGGCGGTTGGATGGGATGGAGGTTCTGGGGTAGTCAGGGGTCAGGGAACAGGGGGGATTGGATAGGGCATGGGAGTCCAAGGGGCCTGTCACGGGGACAGGGGTGTGGATAGGTCGGGGCAGTCAGGGGCAGGGAGCAGGGGGGATTTGATAGGGGGTGGAATCATGGGGGGGCAGTTTGGGGCAGGGGATCCCAGGAGGGGGCAGTCAGGGGACAAGGAGCAGGGGGGGTTGGATGGTCGGGAGTTCTGAGGGGGACAGTCAGGGTGTGGGAAGTGGGAGGGGCAGATAGGGGGCGGGGGCTAGGCTGTTTTGGGAGGCACAGCCTTCCCTACCCAGCCCTCCATACAGTTTTGCACCCTGATGTGGCCCTTGGGCCAAAAAGTTTGCCCACCCCTGATTTAGAACAAGCTACTGCAACCTCAAAACCATAAAAGGGTGAACAGTTATTAGCTCTTATCAGGAAACGTCTTATGCTCATTTTCTATAGGTTTGGGTTGGGATGATCATTTATCCAGTGATCATCTAAAACACAGTCAGGGTGAAATCCTGTACAGCCCTGCTGAAGATCATGGAGTTGTTCTTTGTGGCAAGGACCATGTTGCTGCGGTTATGGATTTGTACGGTGCCTAGCACAAGAGAGTCGGGTCCACTCTTGTGGCGCCTACGTGCTACTAGAGTACAAATGACTGGGACGAAAGGTGGTTCACCCCCTCCCCCCAAGGTGTTAGCAAACACATTTGAACTCTACTGTATACAGGACAAATTGTATTTTAATGTGGCTTAGCTGGCTAACGCTATGGAGGAGCTCTAGCTACAAACACAAATAGCTAACATGGTTGTAACAATGTCAAACCTGCTACACTCTGTGTTAAGGGGCGTGTGATGTCACATGAACTAAATGAAGTTAGCTACCACACTTTTTTTTTTTTTCTTCAAAAAAGTTCCTCAGTTGAAAAAGGAAGACCTCAGTGAGTCACCAGTTTCCATTGATTTGACACTGATGAACTGAGAACTGGAAGTGCTTAGAGTACTCTGAGAAGAACTGAATGTCACCGTCTACACCTTTTAAAGCTATTTTCTTTATGCCGAGAGGTCACATGAGAACATGTGGCCATCTTCTGACATAATACATTGAAGAAAAACAAACCAAAGCAGCTACTGGTGGTATGCCTATTCTCCCCGCCCCCTATACACATACCCCTTCTCAAGGCTAGGGGAGGGGAGGGTTTCTTCTCACCTCTCCTTCCAAGGCCATGGTATGCAACAGCAGAGAATAGATGGGTGACTGAATAGCAATTAAACAAAAATATTACTAAAAATCTTAAACTATACTAGGTGAATATTCATGCGACTGGTGAAATGAATGACTCAATTTGCTCACCCTCAGCCAAATGACACTGGGATTACTGTACTATCCTCAACTAGGGCAGGATCCTGGCTCTGCCACTGAATTTTTTAACTATGTGGAATCACCAGCATGGCACACGCCTGTGCATACCCTGTTCTGCCCCATTCCAAAAATGCCACTCTGCAGCAGCTCAGAGGGCTGGGAGGATGACCCACACTGGGACACGGACTGTATATTTACTTAATATCTGGACAACACCTAGTGCAATAGAGCCATGATATCTAGTTGGGGCTTCCAGAAATACGTAAATTATTATTACAAACTTTGAAGCAGCAAACATTTAACAAGGACAACTCTCATTTCTCTCTCTTCTCTCCCACTCTACATGAAGTATAATTTTAGCCTGAAAAAGGGTCTTCACACAAACCCAGACCCAGCATTTCTTAGGGCGCATTAGAGTTCGCCAGCTTTTTCTCTAAACAGGATTTATGCCCTGAGAGCGCATTGAAAAAGAGTTTTCTTTGGCGAGCAATTTATACCTTCCCGTACAGCCACACTTCTGGGTTGTTACGCCATAGTTATGCTGTTAGCAATACTGAAAGGGAGAATAAAAGTATTTTATAGAGAAATGCAAGAAAACAATATTCTGATTTATGGTTCAAATAAATGGCTGAAGAAATGTAAAACAGAAAGGCGTGATATGTATTAAAACAGCGGCACATGATATGTCTATAGCTCATTTGCAATTTGTGAGAACAAGTACTTTGTTATGCCTCCCAGAGTTATAGTTCTCCAATATCCCATTTTTATCCCTGGGGACCTTTCAAAATCATTACAGCGAACAGAACTGGTTGCATGATGTAGACGTCATTCAAGGCCGGCTTTTAAATCAAAACGTGGCAAATTACATTTGAAGCAAATGTGGGTATTTTATAACATAATGCACAGCTACTGTAGCTGCAATGAATGTAAATGACCTTTTTGACTAAGAACTGCCACATTAAGATACAAACCTATCACCTAAAATACAAGAGAGTCAATAAATAAAATATCTCAAATGCTGAAACCTCAACTTTCTTGCCCTTCGTTAGGTACAGAGCATTTAATGATGTCTTAGTTATGAGGCCGGACTCGGATTGGGAGTGACTAGCTCCTTGTAGGTATCCCTCAGCACTTTCCAGGATAGGGCCTTTATGGAGCCCTTTCCTCATAGAAGATACCAAAGTGTTTCATAATTCTCTTGGAATATGGCAACTATTTAATAGCATGCAGGAGCTGTTCCCAGTAGTTTAGGGGAGGAAGTGAAGAAAGCAAACATGTATATTGAAACTGACTGGGGAACTTAGGCAGAATGTAATTGTCTGGGTTGAAGTTTAGCTAAAATGCCTCCTTGCTTTCGAGAAAAGTGCTACAAGAATATTATTCACCACATGTGACAAGGCCTCAGTTTTACATTTCATCTGAAAGATGGCGCCTTCTAACACCATGGTGCGGTATTTCAGTTCATCACACTGATGCAGAGAGAAGAGCACCCTTAGTGTATTAGTACCACCCACCACTTTCTACAGCCCCCTGGGGTCTTTCATGGAGGTTTCCCACCCCAGTACTGGGCACGTCTAATTCTACTTGCCCTGTGAAAGCTGATGTCATCCAGCGGTGTATGTACATGGCTGCATATGTTTAACACTAGAGAAGCTCTATTTTGGCTTATTTATTTTCAGTGTATTTATTGTATTTTAAAATCTGAAGTCTAAATACGGTAATTGGCAATGATATATTTTGCTTTTAATAATTTTTAAAAAATCTTCCAGTTGAATGAAATCTATATTCTTTTTGATATAAAAAATTTACATCACTATCAAGCTGATTCACACTGAAACCGAGTTATAAGTTATGCAATTATTCTTTTCAAATCAAATCCACAATGGGACCAGAAATTTCCAAGACACTTTTTCCACCATTAGAGCACATTACTGGAAGCAATTGCTTTTCCCTAAAGTCTACGAAAAGCAAAAGAAATGATCAAACAGCTTGTAAATTGACCCATTATTTCTCTTCCAGTATTACTGCCAAAAGCATTTATAAAAACATAACCACTTTCATTGCTATTAAATAGAGCATTAAACAAATTATATTTAGCGTTAAAGCAAACATGAGAAAATTCAGACAATATTTGTACTCCAACTTGAAGAGAGAAAAATGTATTTTATTTGCTTACCTCTTCAAATTTTAATGCAATCATAGAAAAAGCCTTAAAAATTGCATCTGTTGGGCCTGTTATTGTCACAATTCTTTCTGGACAGGAACCTTCTGAAATATTGATTCGAGCACCACTCTGTCAACAAGAACAAATATTTTTAAAGTACGTTTTCTTTTGGGATGCAAAATAGGGAGGATTCTACTTGTCTGTCTGGCTAGGTACGTATATGGCCCTCTTCACCACAGTTGGTGAGCAGCACCTAAGTAATTGAAAGTAACAACTGTAAAATAAATTCTTTCATTCTCTCTTTCCTACGTACAGGAGTAAACTTGAATAGGACTAAAACCAGAATTGTGGGCATTTGAAATTTCTATTTAGCAAGCATCAACTAAAAATAAAAATAAATAATTTCATATCTGGACTGGATCCAGACTATTCACCTGAAAATGGTCTGTCTAGGTGGGGCTCCAGTTTTCTGAATAAACAGGGTAACTAAAACTACGGGCCATATTTTATAGGTCTTTAATTTACATCCTAGACTAAATTATTCTAATGAGCGCTTTGTACAAACTCATACAAATTAGGTAAATTAATGTGTACTGAACACACTTACTAAAGAATCATCCAGCAGTAACTGTAAGATACCAGTGCAGAAACACAGTCATGTCTCTTTAAGAGGAAGAGCCAGCAAGAAGGAAATAGGAAACCAGATACCTGGGAGACAGAGAACCTGATTCTCATTTACACCATGGCCCCTTTTTATCACTCTGGTGAGACAGATGCCCCTTAAAGTGGGTATAAATGTATTACACAGACTCCTTAATGTAATGAGAATCAGACCCAGATGGTTCAGGAAAGACCAAGACTGTGTAATTTCTTTTTATTCCCGCACTTACTGCTATTGAACCAGTTTTGTGTATTTTGCCTCTCTACATGACAGCAACCAAATATAACAACAAGGCGTACTAATGGCAAAATCGTCCTGTCACTGAATCTCCTGACAGGTATATTCTAAATGTCTGCGAAGAGGCAAGGGCTGCCGGTACTTAATCTACTTTTGTCTGACAGGTGGACTGGAGAGTTGTGAATCCACCTTGGCGGGGGAAAGGGCGAGGGGATTTCCAGATACACACTAATCATACATCAGTGTTTAATCAGTGGCGAGGCCTAGTTTTAAGCTGGTTCAAAGTGTCTGGCTTCAGTTATCAAACACAAAACAAGCTCCTTAGGGTGGAATCTTACAATCAGCTCCTCTGCTTCGGTGGGGTTCTGTGTGGGCACAGGAGTCTGCCTATGCAGAGCTGCTCAGAGGATCGGTGCGTTCAGGGGTTACTCACCTTGACAATATTTAGAATATACGCCTAACGTTAATGAAAGTACTTTTTATGCGAGCAAGGTCGCAACAGTTTATGTGAAAGACTGTCCCACTATGCATCATTGTATCCAATGTTTTCCGAAAATCACACATGGCAAAAGATCATTTAACTCTTGTTAGGCTTTCAGTCATGTCAAAATGATTGAATCGGAGAGGTTACATTCTAAAGGAAAGCAGTAGGGATGCCAGTATTTTTTGGCAGCCTTATCCATGAAGTGAAAGGAATTTCACTGGACTGTAGTTTTCTGGAGACATATCAGTTAGGCTGTGCCAGGCCGCTGGTAGCTTAGAGAATGACACAGACAGCCCAAGTGCCACTCCTCAAAATATGGTGTGTTATTTGCTATCATGACATCTGCCAGAAAAGCCTAGATAGAAATAATTGTGTTCTATTTCTTTAAAGGAAAGCACAAAAGAAAGCGATCAGTTACAGGAATTATATGTAATTTCCTTTTTACTATGTATACAACATTCACTTCAGAGTTTGAGGACTAAGATGATATGTCTCCATATCACGTTTATCCCAGATACTCTTTGCCCTTATTCTTTTTTAAATCAACCCCTTAATACCAAAAATTATAAGGTGTGCTTCTAGTGTCCTCAGGAGCATAAGGAGGAAAATTTCCATATATTGTGAAAAAATGAGACAAATTATTTTTTTACACCTAACAGGTTCGATTGCAGGGACCAGGGAATAAGTTTTCAGAAAAAGAGTTACTGGGGGGGAGGGGGCTTCTCTTTTGTAGATTCAACATGCACACACAAAATCTGTGCCCACAGTTTTGCACTCACCTGTGGGCACAAATCTGAGTGAGTGGAGCTCTAGCTGCCTGTTGGTGGGAACAATAAGATTAGCACCAGCAATTCATTTTGATTAACTGATTATTGTTTGTTTAATGAATATCAGGGGCATCTGGAGCATCAGAAACACACCACTTACTTCTTTCATAAATCTAAATAAATACCTGTATTTACAAAAACAACAAGGAGTACTGGTGGCACCTTACTCCACAAGTACTCCTCGTTGTTTTTGCTGATACGGACTAACATGGCTACCACTCTGAAACCTGTTACCTGTATTTAATGAGTCAACACTTGGGTGAAAGTTGTGTCTGCAAAAAGAGAGCTCTGACATCAGTCTGGCTGAAAAGAAACTCTTCAGTGCATGTATTGAAAGGGCATATCAGAGTATTCTTCTACACCGCATGTTTTAAAATTTCCTTAAGGGAGACTTTCTACAAGTGCCTAACAAAGCAACTGGCAGAATATGCCCTGCTGAAACCCTAAAACTAAATTAAACATTTCTCGGTACATTCTCTGTATAACTGAATTTTTTACTTTCAAAAAGGTAGATTGCCTCATCCTTTTAACAGGTACTGGAACCCTGCAGGGAGCTGCAGGTTAGTTTCTGCTGACTCAGTGGGGCAGATGTGACTTTTTAGACTCCATCCTGAGTATAAGAAAGGTGGGGTAGACCTCTGAGGACAGGTAGCTAGAGTCCGAGAATTTAAGGCCAGAAGGGACCACCAGATCAAATCTGACCTCCTGTATATCACAGACCACCAATACCACCGAGCACCTGCACATTAAAACCAACAACTGAAATTAGACTAATATGTTACAGCCCTCAGGAGACTAAGCTGTTATGTGCCACAGCAGAAAACAGGAGGGACCAACGTGCACTAATACCCACGGCCCCTGCAATGGCAGAGAACTGACTGAGATATACCCAGATAATCCTGGCACAGAATCTGACTCCACATTGCAGAGGAGAGCAACTCCTCTCCCCCAGGTCACTGCCAATCTGACTGAAGGGAAAATTCCTTCTCAACCCTGCATATGGGATCAGATAGACCCTGAATGTGTGAGCAAGAACCAGCCAGCCAAGCACCTGAGAGAAAGAATGCTCAGAGCTTCAGTCCACACAGTGCAGTGTCCCAGCTCCAGCTGTAGCCATCTTTGATGCCACAAACAAAACAAAACAACAACAAAGACAAAAAACACCACCATGAAAAACAAACAAAACCCAACCGCAAGAATACATGGGGGAAGTTGGGGAAGTAGCAGGGGGAAACATTTCCTGGCCCCTACAAGTGACTGGCTGAAGCCCTGAAGTAGGAGATTTAGGGTCTGGGACAGATCGGCTGATTGGAAAGTAAACCTATGAGCAGCCAAGCCTAGGGAGTTGATTTGGAGGGAGATTTATGTGATATCAGCTTTGAATTAATCTTTTTGTTTATAAATCTAAACTCCAGGAATGGGGGAAAAGGTGCCTTTTTTGCATCTTTACAACAGGTATGATGTCTCCAGTTTGCAGGTTTATCTTCTTATCGCCAAGTGTTGACAAAGGGAGTGGTAAGAGATGAGCCTGTACCACATGGACCACTCCAGCTCTGAGAGACAGCCAGACTTTTTGGATGGCCCCCACCTCCTATAATGTGTCAATCCAAATCCCTGTATTCAACACCCACCCATAATCCTAACCTTTGGAAAATCCAGCTCTGGAACCAAACTCCATGAATGTGAGTTAGTGGGAGAATAGAACCCTAAGAGTTTCTGTGACACTTAGAACCCTACTGACTAAATAAGCTCTGAGACAATAGGGTTACAGGCACAGTGCTGTAGAAATTATCCACTTTTAGTTTCCTTTAAAGAAGACAAAAAACCTGAGACAGCTTTATGGGAAGCTTATATTAATAAAAACTGTTTAATTTTGGCTTATGTATTAAAACAACACCACATATAATAATAAATAGTTGGTATTAATCTTTCCAGCCACCTGGTGGCACTGTTATTCCATATTATTCCATGTTATTCCAACCCCTCAGACAGAGACAAACACCTACAAGATCTCTGTCAAGCTTTCTTACAACTACAATACCCACCTGCAGAAGTAAAGAAACAGATTGATAGAGCCAGAAGAGTTCCCAGAAGTTACCTACTACAGGACAGGCCTAACAAAGAAAATAACAGAACGCCACTAGCGGTCACCTTCAGCCCCCAACTAAAACCCCTCCAACGCATTATTAAGGATCTACAACCTATCCTAAAGGATGACCCAACACTCTCACAAGTCTTGGGAGACAGGCCAGTCCTTGCCTACAGACAGCCCCGCAACCTGAAGCAAATACTCACCAACAACCACATACCACACAACAGAACCACTAACCCAGGAACTTATCCTTGCAACAAAGCCCGTTGCCAACTGTGCCCACATATCTATTCAGGGGACACCATCACAGGGCCTAATAACATCAGCCACACTATCAGAGGCTCGTTCACCTGCACATCCACCAATGTGATATATGCCATCATGTGCCAGCAATGCCCCTCTGCCATGTACATTGGTCAAACTGGACAGTCTCTACGTAAAAGAATAAATGGACACAAATCAGATGTCAAGAATTATAACATTCATAAACCAGTCGGAGAACACTTCAATCTCTCTGGTCACGCAATCACAGACATGAAGGTCGCTATCTTAAAACAAAAAAACTTCAAATCCAGACTCCAGCGAGAAACTGCTGAATTGGAATTCATTTGCAAATTGGATACTATTAATTTAGGCTTAAATAGAGACTGGGAGTGGCTAAGTCATTATGCAAGGTAGCCTGTTTCTTCTTGTTTTTCCCCCCCCCCCTCCAGATGTTCTGGTTTAACTTGGATTTAAACTTGGAGAGTGGTCAGTTTAGATGAGCTATTACCAGCAGGAGAGTGAGTTTGTGTGTGTATGGGGGTGGGGGGGATGTGAGAGAACCTTGATCTATGCAGGAAATAGCCCGACTTGATTATGCAAAGAGTTGTCACTTTGGATGGGCTAGCACCAGCAGGAGAGTGAATTTGTGTGGGGGGTGGAGGGTGAGAAAACCTGGATTTGTGCTGGAAATGGCCCACCTGTTGATCACTTTAGATAAGCTATTACCAGCAGGACAGTGGGGTGGGAGGAGGTATTGTTTCATATTCTCTGTGTGTATATAAAGTCTGCTGCAGTTTCCACGGTAAACATCTGATGAAGTGAGCTGTAGCTCACGAAAGCTCATGCTCAAATAAATTGGTTAGTCTCTAAGGTGCCACAAGTACTCCTTTTCTTTTTGCGAATACAGACTAACACGGCTGTTCCTCTGAAACCTGTCATTATGCAAGGCACTGCATTTAGCCGTATGGAGTGGAAATCTATCAACTGCATGAAGAAACTTGTACAGATACAGACAGACATCATCTTCCTTTCCAAATGCAAACAGATGGACATCGTACCAAAAGGACTGAAGGTCAAAAATCCATTACAATCTACATACCACACAGACTATGCTGACAGCTTGTGCCTCACGCTCTCAAAGAAACTGCGGAATCACCTGATCAAGATCCTCTACAGCAAACAGGGAAAGATTAAGAATGAGCTCTCAAAAATGGATACTCTCATAAAGAACCAACCTTCCACACAAACTTCCTCGTGGCTGGATTTTACTAAAACTAGACAAGCCATTTACAACGCACACTTTGCTTCTCTACAAAAGAAAAAAGACAGTAAACTTTCTAAACTACTACATGCTACAAGGGGCCACAGCAATGGTTCCCTCACCCCACCTAGCAATATTGTTAACCTATCCAACTATACTCTCAGCCCAGCAGAAGCAGCTGTTCTATCTCGGGGCCTCTCCTTCTGCCCCTCCACCCCCACGAACATGATACAGTTCTGTGGTGACCTAGAATCCTATTTTCGCGTCTCCGTCTCAAGGAATATTTCCAAAATACCTCTGAACAACATACTAATCCACAGAGGTCTCCCTGCCAACACTACAGAAAGAGGGATTCTAGATGGACTCCTCCTGAAGGTCGAAACAGCAGACTGGACTTCTACATAGAGTGCTTCCGCCGACGTGCACGGGCTGAAATTGTGGAAAAGCAGCATCACTTGCCCCATAACCTCAGCCATGCGGAACGCAATGCCATCCACAGCCTCAGAAACAACTCTGACATCATAATCAAAAAGGCTGACAAAGGAGGTGCTGTTGTCATCATGAATAGGTCGGAATATGAACAAGAGGCTGCTCGGCAGCTCTCAACACGAGTTTCTACAAGCCATTACCCTATGATCCCACTGAGAGTTACCAAAAGCAACTACAGCATTTGCTCAAGAAACTTCCTGAAAAAGCACAAGATCAAATCCGCACAGACACACCCCTGGAACCCCGACCTGGGATATTCTATCTACTACCCAAGATCCATAAACCTGGAAATCCTGGGCGCCCCATCATCTCAGGCATTGGCACCCTGACAGCAGGATTGTCTGGCTATGTAGACTCCCTCCTCAGGCCCTACGCTACCAGCACTCCCAGCTACCTTCGAGACACCACTGACTTCCTGAGGAAACTTCAATCCATCGGTGATCTTCCTGATAACACCATCCTGGCTACTATGGATGTAGAAGCCCTCTACACCAACATTCCACACAAAGATGGACTACAAGCCGTCAAGAACACTATCCCCGATAATGTCACGGCTAACCTGGTGGCTGAACTTTGTGACTTTGTCGTTACCCATAACTATTTCACATTTGGGGACAATGTATACCTTCAGATCAGCGGCACTGCTATGGGTACCCGCATGGCCCCACAGTATGCCAACATTTTTATGGCTGATTTAGAACAACGCTTCCTCAGCTCTCGTCCCCTAAAGCCCCTACTCTACTTGCGCTATATTGATGACATCTTCATCATCTGGACCCATGGAAAAAGAAGCCCTTGAGGAATTCCACCACGATTTCAACAATTTCCATCCCACCACCAACCTCAGCCTGGTCCAGTCCACACAAGAGATCCACTTCCTGGACACTACAGTGCTAATTAACAATGGCCACATAAACACCACCCTATACCGGAAACCTACTGACCGCTATTCCTACCTGCATGCCTCCAGCTTTCACCCTGACCACACCACACGATCCATCGTCTACAGCCAAGCTCTGCGATACAACCGCATTTGCTCCAACCCCTCAGACAGAGACAAACACCTACAAGATCTCTGTCAAGCTTTCTTACAACTACAATACCCACCTGCAGAAGTAAAGAAACAGATTGATAGAGCCAGAAGAGTTCCCAGAAGTTACCTACTACAGGACAGGCCTAACAAAGAAAATAACAGAACGCCACTAGCGGTCACCTTCAGCCCCCAACTAAAACCCCTCCAACGCATTATTAAGGATCTACAACCTATCCTAAAGGATGACCCAACACTCTCACAAGTCTTGGGAGACAGGCCAGTCCTTGCCTACAGACAGCCCCGCAACCTGAAGCAAATACTCACCAACAACCACATACCACACAACAGAACCACTAACCCAGGAACTTATCCTTGCAACAAAGCCCGTTGCCAACTGTGCCCACATATCTATTCAGGGGACACCATCACAGGGCCTAATAACATCAGCCACACTATCAGAGGCTCATTCACCTGCACATCCACCAATGTGATATATGCCATCATGTGCCAGCAATGCCCCTCTGCCATGTACATTGGTCAAACTGGACAGTCTCTACGTAAAAGAATAAATGGACACAAATCAGATGTCAAGAATTATAACATTCATAAACCAGTCGGAGAACACTTCAATCTCTCTGGTCACGCAATCACAGACATGAAGGTCGCTATCTTAAAACAAAAAAACTTCAAATCCAGACTCCAGCGAGAAACTGCTGAATTGGAATTCATTTGCAAATTGGATACTATTAATTTAGGCTTAAATAGAGACTGGGAGTGGCTAAGTCATTATGCAAGGTAGCCTGTTTCTTCTTGTTTTTCCTACCCCCCCTCCAGATGTTCTGGTTTAACTTGGATTTAAACTTGGAGAGTGGTCAGTTTAGATGAGCTATTACCAGCAGGAGAGTGAGTTTGTGTGTGTATGGGGGTGGGGGGGATGTGAGAGAACCTTGATCTATGCAGGAAATAGCCCGACTTGATTATGCAAAGAGTTGTCACTTTGGATGGGCTAGCACCAGCAGGAGAGTGAATTTGTGTGGGGGGTGGAGGGTGAGAAAACCTGGATTTGTGCTGGAAATGGCCCACCTGTTGATCACTTTAGATAAGCTATTACCAGCAGGACAGTGGGGTGGGAGGAGGTATTGTTTCATATTCTCTGTGTGTATATAAAGTCTGCTGCAGTTTCCACGGTAAACATCTGATGAAGTGAGCTGTAGCTCACAAAGCTCATGCTCAAATAAATTGGTTAGTCTCTAAGGTGCCACAAGTACTCCTTTTCTTTTTGCGAATACAGACTAACACGGCTGTTCCTCTGAAACATATACATCTAGTTCTACTCTCACAGAAAGAAATAAAGACATCAAAGTTTCTCTCTTACCTCCTCCCTCATCTTCTTAACTGTCTCCCCTTTCTGTTAAACAAATGGGGAAAAATTAGTCCCTATTGCAGTGGTCAATTGATATAGGATATTGAGACATGAATTAAAAAAATAATTCTTAAAGTAAATTACTGACCTTTCCAATAATGCTCCCAACCTCCTGGAACAGGAAAAAAACAACACAGTAAGTGAATATTTATGAGAACAAAAAGAAGAAAATGTTAATTAAACAATATTTCACTATAAAGTTCATTCTGAAAACAAAGGTGGGCAGGACAGACCAGCCACATTTCACAATAGCTACATTTTTAGTCCACACAAATATGCATTATAAGAAGGAATGAACTAAGAGCTCCTATTGCAATATAAATAAATGAGACACAAGAGTTTACTGCTGTCATGAAGGAAGCCCCACTGCCTCGAAAGTAGCCCTGAGCTAATGCAGCAAACTGCCACTGTAAATACCGAGATCTTATTTTGGGGAATAAGAGATTCAGAACTGAGCTGAACAATATTCTGGGAAAATTGGGAAGATACAGCCTTCACACTCAATGGTGATCTCTTCGAAGTCAGACACTTGTGCTCTTTTCAGCAAGTAATGGACAGAAGTGGATTAATGGTGAGATCAGGAGTTATTGTATAAACAACTGCTGGCCTGTCCTTCTCAATCCCTCCAGTGAGAGCTTCCCAAACCAGTGATTTCTAATCAGCTGTTAGACACTCTGAGGATGGCTAACGGGTTATTAAAATCCTACGTGGAGTCGTATAAAAAGTCCAGAAAAAAACCTTCAGACATGCAATGGGAGTTCTGATCACATCCATGTGTTTTAAACTAGGCACACACAAGCAGTAGGGAAGCAAAATGGAAGCTAATAACCATAAAATGAACACCATGAGCATTGTGCTAGTTGCACAAGTTTGATCCAAGACTGAAAAACAACTGTTGGAGATGAGACCAGCCAAGGAAAAAGCTCATATTCTGTGGTTAGTCTTCAAAATCCACTTCCACTGGTTAAAAAGAGTTAGACATGATTAATCTGATCTGGAGAGCTGATCTGCAGCTAGTACTTTCCCCTGACTTGTTCTGAATCACAACCACCAGAGTAGATTTAAGAAATGGCTATCCATTACTTTTTCCTGCGAAAAAGGCTCATTTTCTGACAAAAGGCTACTAAATTCATCTCCACATTTCAAGGCTGGTGCAGTGACCTTGTGGAAGTTCTTTTTTCCAATGAATAATGTATACAGATTCAAAATGAAGCAGTTAGGGCTTGTGGCTCTTCTAACCACATCCACAACACTGAGGACAGCTGCAGATGTTCTGTGAGTGGAGAAGTTCCAATTTAGCAAGCTGCTTCAACATGTGCTTAAATCCCATTCATGTTGATGGGACATAAGCACATGCTTAAAGTTAAGTACATGCTGAAGTTAAGTACATTGATGAACAAGGCCATGAAGACCCCAGTCTGCCTCTACGCTGACTGCTGCTGAACCTGGAAATCCTCAGACTTATTCTCAAAATGTACCTCCCTTGTTTTTGTTTTCTTCTTTATTGCTCCTCCTATTAGCTGCCTGGAAACTCTACTTCATTCTCATATAGTGCTGGACTGTATTCAGATGGGCTTCTTATGTGCTCTGTGGAAACACAATTTTACGTGTTGTGTGGAGTCGACCTATATGCTAGTATATTTATATAAGTGTTATTTTGCTTGTTATTGTGTTAGCTTAAGTGTTAAGTACCTTGCACGAGTATATCTAATAATCTGTACATATATATAGACTTCAGGAGTGTATGAATCTATATCTATGTACACACAAAAATTACTATTTAGGTTTTTAGCAGTCCAGTAGTCCATCTTGACCAGGAATGTATGAGGCTGATAGTCTATGAAAAAAGGAGGAAAATCTATTTAATAATGAAGTTCCTAAATTCCCAGATATTTTTGGACCATATAAGCAAGCCAAAAGAAAAAGTTCTTTCTCTGGGATGAATTGACAGCTCTAAGTTTGTCAGCACCAGTCCTCTCTCCAGCAAAGCCAAATTCACATAAAGATCAGAAACAGCATATATTTTTAATTCTGATAGGGAAGCCTTTTTTTTTTTTTTTTTTTTTGCTCAGATAGAAATCAGAGGGTTAATTTGGAGAATGGGTCTCATATTGGGTTTTCTGGTTTGTCAAACTTGATTCGTTCATATATATATATATGGGGGGGTAACTTTAAAAGAAACGTTTCAGAGTAACAGCCGTGTTAGTCTGTATTCGCAAAAAGAAAAGGAGGACTTGTGGCACCTTAGAGACTAACCAATTTATTTGGTTAGTTTCTAAGGTGCCACAAGTACTCCTTTTCTTTTTTTAAAAGAAACAAACACAACTGTCACACCGTACCCTGGCCAGTCATGAAACCGGCTTTCAAAGCTTCTCTGATACGAAGCGCACCCTGCTGCGCTCTTCTAATCGCCCTGTTGTCTGGCTGTGTGAAACTGGCCACCAGGCGAGTTGCCTCAACCTCCCACCCCACCATAAACGTCTCCCCTTTACTCTCACAGATATTGTGGAGCAATATTGTGCTGAGATCTAACCAAGTCAGTAAACTGCACCAGCGCGCTTTCAAACATCCAAAAGCACATTCTACCACCATTCCGCACTTGCTCAGCCTACAGTTGAACTGCTCCTTACTACTGTCCAGGGTGCCGGTGTACGGTTTCATAAGCCATGGCATTAAGGGGTAGGCTGGGTCCCCGAGGATAACTATAGGAATTTCAACATCCCCAACAGTAATTTTCCGGTCTGGGAAGTAAGTCCCTTCCTGCAGCTGTTCAATCAGACCAGAGTTCCTGAAGATGTGAGCATCATGCACCTTTTCCGGCCATCCCACGTTGATGTCGGTGAAACATCCTTTGTGATCCACCAGTGCTTGCAGCACCATGGAAAAGTACCCCTTGCAATTTATGTATTGGCTGCCCCAGTATTCCAGGGCCAAGATAGGGATATGCGTTCTGTCTATCGCCCCGCTGCAGTTAGGGAACCCCAACGCATTAAAGCCATCCACAATGGTCTGCACATTTCCCAAAGTCACCACCCTTGATAGCAGCTGGTCAATGATTGTGTTGGCTACTTGCAGCACAGCAGCCCCCACAGTAGATTTGCCCACTCCAAACTGATTCCCGAATGACCAGTAGCTGTCGGGCGTTGCAAGCTTCTACAGGGCTATGGCCACTCGCTTCTCAACTGTGAGGGCTGCTTTCATTTTGGTGTCTTTGAGCTTCAGGGCAGGGCACAGCAAGTCACAAAGTTCCATGAAAGTGGCCCTACGCATACGAAAGTTTCGCAGCCACTGGGAATCATCCCATACCTTCAACACTATGTGGTCCCACCAGTCTGTGCTTGTTTCCAGGGCCCAGAATCAGCGTTCCACGGCACGAACCTGGCCCAACACTACCAGGATCTCCCAATCGCCACATGCCGTGCTTCTAGGAATGTCTGTGTCCATGTCCTCATCAGTATAGTAATCGTGCTGTCGTCGCTTCCTCGCCCAGTTTTGCAGGTACTGCACATACTGCTGGATAATGTGTGAGGTATTTACAACGGTCAAAACTACAGTGGAGATCTGAACGGGCTCCATAGCTACGGTGCCTGCACGGGTAATCCTGGAAAAATGGCATGAAACGTAGGAGAGCAGAGCGGCAGCGGAAGAGGCTGAAAAAAGGTGGGAAATGGTTGTCTTCTGTAGCTTTCACGGAGGCGGGAGCCCAGGACAGACAACATGGAGAAGCTCGGTAGCGCAGCAAGAGCGGGAGAGCAGAGTTGGCGGAGGAAGCTGTGCTGCTCGGTTCACGGTGGCCAAGCAGAGTTGGCAGCGGAAGCGTTCAATGAGGAAGGGAAAGAGTAGATACTAGAGATTACATAGGAAGACGAGAGGAAATGCGAGGTGGATTCATAGTAGCAGGAGAGCAGTGGTGCACTGTCTGCTGAAAGCAGTATGGTGTCTGGATGCCAAAAAGGTGTAAAACAATTGTCTGCCATAGCTTTCACAAAGGGAGGAGCGGCTGACGACACACACCCAGAAACACTCGCGAGAATGTTTTTGCCCCATCATGCACTGGGAGCTTAACCCAGAATTCCAATGGGCGGCGTGGACTGCGGGAACTGTGGGATAGCTACCCATAGTGCACCGCTCCAACATTCAATGCTAGCCTCGGTACTGTGGATGCACTCTGCCAAATTCACACGCTTTAGTGGGGACACAGAAGACCGAATGTATAAAATCGCTTCTGAAAATTCAAATAGAATAATTTCAAAATAATTTCGTACTGTAGATGTACCCTAAACTGTGTCTAAGTAGTTATAAATGTAACAAAAATGACACAATGCAAACCCTGTATAAAGCCATATGTTACTAGAAAATGGAAAATGTTGCCAGTCATTGGTTTGTTCTATGAAAAGTATACTGGATACGTGGTTTTTTAAATTTTCAATTACTTAGTCATCATTTCAGTGGGCAACAGAAGGAAAATCAATGTTAAAAATGAGGGATAGTTTACTTAATGCTAAGAGGTAGACACACACTATTATTTTCACACCTAATTCACATGATGGATTAGATATAGGATGAGTTCCATGCCAAATGAGCAATCCAGAGGCACAGGGTCTTAGCACAAAACAGAACGCATTACCTATGCCACCCTATTGCTAATGGAACAGAAAAATTAAAACAAAAACCAACTCCTTACAATCCAAGTGGTTGACAGAGATCTTGACAGTGCAACTGACAAATCTGGGTTTCTGAAATACTCAGTCAAACTGTATGAGAGAGAGAGCTATTTCCCTAATCAGCTAATAGTTATGTCTTCTGCATAGAAAGGAAAACAAATTAGTCATGTTAAAAAAAACCAGGAAGCTTAACAATTGGTAACAAAGCTTGGCATAAAGAGTAACCTTTAGACTGCGAACATGATGTGTGAAGTTCCATCATTTTTCTAAATATTGCAAGTTTAATAATCATTATAGCACCATCAATCTCGGGAGTAAAAAACAGTCCTCACAATAAACCAGTGATCACTCTGTTATAAAATCCTGCCACCAACTTTACAGTGTTGTTGAAACACTAATCTGACAGGAGTCTTAATCTAAATTCATTTATGGACGTGAAAACCATTTT